AGTATCCATAGTTCGTTGGAATACGCCCTGCGCGTTCCTGGTGCCGAACGGCATCACGGTCCACTCATAAAGCCCGTCGGGACCATGAAACGCTGTCTTCTTGCGGTCTTCTTCCGGGATGAGGATTTGATTGAATCCTTGCCTGAGATCCAAGGTTGAGAACATGGTGACGCCATGCAGTTTATCGAAGATCTCATCCGCCGACTGCATCGGGTACCTATCAGGCACGGTCACCTTATTCAACCCCCGGTAATCTCCACACATCCTCTTCGCCGACACTTCCCCGGTGATGTCAGTCCGAGAAGCCACCACTATGGCTGCAGCAAACTCACTCCCTGACCTCCGTATCAGCACCGCTTCTAGCAGCTCTGCGCATTTGGCCTGGCACACCTCCACATCTCATGGGCTCATCCATCGCTTGCGGTGGTACGCCGGGGTGTCGCTGTTGAGCGTGATCCGCATCTCCTGCACCTTACACCTCCCCTGGAGCGTGAAGGGGAAGGTCTGAAGGTGTTCTTGCAGCACTCCTCGTAATGCTGCGGTGGTGGCTGCCCCCAGCCCGTTGCCTATCTCCCACTCCTTCTCTGCCAGCTCCTCCTCCTTAGCCTCGAGAGAAGGTACCTCGCCGGCTCCTTTGCTGCTCGTCTACCCTGCCTCGACCGCCATGAAGGTCCATCCCTCTCTTATCCTCGCGGTCCGTTGAGCCTCGATGCTGTCCAGCTGCTGCCTCCTCCACGCCGCTTCGCGTTCGTCATGGTATCGCAGGCTCCCGTCCAGCTCGCGCTGAACCGCCTTGGTCTTCAAGTGCATCCTGATAGTTTCTAGAATCCAGGTCATGGCGTTCAAATCCATCGCGCGTCCCAATGCCGCCTTCCTTTGCGCCTCCATCACTTCCGGATGAGCCGTCGCCCCCCACTTGTGCCCCATTGCCAGCTCCCTCTCCTCTGCCGACGGAGCTTCCCACTTCCGTGTTCGAGAGTCGTACACCATCCCGGGCCCGAGCAGATTTCCTTCCATGACGAAACTAGTGTCGGCCAGGCCCTCTTGGGTTCTCCTGGTACGTTACATTGGTACTGCGCTGGGTGATCCTCGATGGTCACAGGTGCCGGGACTCTATTCGGGCCCAGTATGTCCTTCACCATCCTTGGGTGCAGCCTCTGCATCTGGGCCAGAGAGTGACGCAGCACGGCTTTCGACACCCCGTTCTGCCAGTAGCGTCGTGGCCGATGCGCCCTCGATCCCAACTGCGCCGCATCGGCTGCCACTCCCCTCCCTAGTACGGATTGAATCTCCTCGAACGCCAGCTTCACCGGCTCCCTCCGATCGTCCGCCATATCTACGTTCTCCAGGATAAAAATAATCTCCCTGCCCGTCTGCTGTATTATCCGCAGCACCCTCTCTAGGTCCTGGAACGAGGCTCCCCGGGGATCTTCCATCCCCCTTCCCTCCCCAGCTCGCGAATATCCTTGGCATTCCCATCCGACCACCACTAGGTCTATGGGTCCCCACTCCTCCAGCTGCGGGCGCGTGATGTCCCGTACATCATGGATCCCGCCTTCGCCTTCCATGTTGATAGCTGAGATCGACATCTGCTGCGGATATTCCTCCAATAGTTTCATCGCGTGCCATCTTCCGCACTATCGTATCCTTCTCCACGTATATCCACTTCCGCACGAAGCACCACGCCTTCAGCGCCGCCGCTAGTCCGGCCCGCTTCGCTCATTTTGATCCTCCGCGTTTCCTCCTCGGCGTACTCTTGCCACGTCCAGTCATCTAGCTCCTTGGACAGGTCCGCCTCTTCCGCTCTATAAGCCGCCCGAGGCTCCTGCTTAACGAACCGCACCGTTAGCGTCCCCACTGAGATCTCTGGATCCCAATACTGTACTCTATATAACATCTTCTCTTGCCAGGTACAGATGGTTGCCCCCACTTTATACAGCAGCTCCATACCCACGAGGACGTCGTAGTCCTCCGACTGCGATATCCCGCATTTCAGTCGGACGCAGCACTCCTTGTCGGTGCCACGCAGCAGCATGACTTCCACCGGCCGTTTGGTACTCGGCATCCACTTCGGGTCCCACCTTCGGCCGTCATGAGCAGGATTCCTTTCTCTACTTGCATTCCGGGAAGGTCCAACCGGAGCTACTTGGCTAATCCTTTGCCCAGGATAACGTGGTACGCCCCGGTGTCTATTGTCCCTTGTCCGTCAGGCTCCCCTTCTCAGCTATCAGCACCGGCGCCTGGCACACCATGCGTTCGATTGGGTGCCTTTGTATGTCGCTGCTGGTCGCTCCGTCCCTCCTGGCCGGCGCCCGGTCCCGCTTGCTGGTGGTGCTCACGTCGCCCATCGATTCGGTCCGTGACCGCAGATCTAAGTCACTGCGTTCCCTCGGGTGGGCCATGAATCCGTACACTCGCGCCAGCTCCTCTTCTGGTAGCTCTTCTTCTGCCACCTCCTCAATAGCTAGCATCGCCTGACTCCTCTCCCCGGTCTCCGGCATCCGCTCCAGCTGCGCCTGAAGCCTCCGTATTTCCCCTTGTAAGTCTTCTCTCGTCTGGCCGTCGGTGCCTGGCCGGCGGTGGCGACAGTCGATCTGCCGGTGCCCCCTCCTTCCGCAACGCTCGCACGACAGTAGGCTCGGGCAGTCCCGCTTCAGGTGCCCCGCTTCTCCACAAGAATGGCATCTCCACGGTCGGCCGAGACCTTCTCGGCTTCTGGTACCGCCGCGGCCACCCAGCTCGACCGGTCCTTCGGCCTTGTTGGCCCGTCGTCCAACTCCAGCAGCCGCTGCGGGTGCTCGGTCCGCTTTGCCATGCCGTACACTTCCTTCAATGTTACGTCGGCTCCGATTCCGTACACCGCGGTCCTCACCACCGGCCGCAACTCGTCGTCCAGTCCGCGCACGAATTTCAGCACCAGAAGACGCTTGTCCCGCTTCTCCAGGTCTTACGCCAGTTCCATCAGGCGGTTATACTAGGAGAGTAGCGATTCCTCCTTCTTCCGGCGGAAGTCCCGGAATTCCTCAAGCTGTGCCTTGGTTTGTCCCACGAACTCCTGCCGCAGCAGCTGCATGAACCTCTCAATAGGATCCTTGATTAACCCGTGCGCCAGCTCCTCCAATACTTTGCTCTGCACCATTCGATAGAATGATTCCGCTTCTCCCGCCAAGGTAACGACCATGTTGCGGAAGAATTCCTGCGGGTCGAATCCGTCGCGCTCCCAGCAGTACTGAGCCGTCTCCAACTGCATGAGGTAGTTCTTCAGCGGCAGTCCCAGGCCCGGGATCCCGGTATAACGCTCCGCCACTTCGATCTTTGGTAATGCTGCCGCAATCCAGCGCGCTCCCGGGAGCGAGCCCTCCTTCTCGTCCCTTATCATCTCTAGGGCCAGTTCGCTCGTAATCAATTCCCTTGGCGCGTTCGTGCGAGGCCCGTGTTCTCCCCCCTTGTTACTCCACTGGCGCGATAGGTCCGGCTCGTTCTCCCGCATGCCCGGCATGAACGACGGCGATTCCCGACTGTCTCGCGCATTCCATCGGTCCTGTGCCGCCCTGACCCACTTCGCGTCCGGCGGGACGGTTCCAGGGTCTGAGGCTGAAGCCCGCTTGTTTCCTTCACATCTTCTCGCCTCCTCTCTCTCCCTCTGATGAGGCGTCCTGTAGGTGGGCAAGTCACTGCGCCGCGACGCCGGCGCGCTTCTGTTCTCTGATCGAATACTATTCGCGTGTGCACGCCATCCCGGCGTAGCTTGCGCTGCTTCCATCGTTCGTCGCTGATAGCTGAAACCCGATCTCAGTTGCACGTCATCGTTCATCTTGCTTGTTTGTAAAAGGGTTGAGCTCCCCGATACAATCGTAGCCGAGAGACAGCTCGGCTGGCTGCTGCTTGAACTGACTTCTCTAGCTAGGGTTTGAAGATACTTTTAGCTAAATGAGAAAACAAACAAGCAAGCAGAGGCCAACGGGCCCTTTGCGCACCTAAGTACATTGTTGTCTATACCGTTGACTACCTACCGTTGTCTCTTTCGACTTTCCCGTTGCAGGGTGTACTCTGCCTTTTTCGGTTCCCACCTAACCTTATCCCTTCACTACAGGATCCTTCTACTCTACTCTGTCACACAATTATATCAAGGTTAAGTTGGTGCAACCTTACGGTTTGCACTCGGCTTGTTGTCCGTGTGCGTGCATGCATGTGTGCATGGAGTGGTATGAGTGCATGAAATAAATATATATTTCATGCTTATAATGGTGTGTGAATGATGGGTCATGATGTCGAGTGTGTGTGTCAAGTCAATAGCGAGTTATCGCTAGTCGCGTGTAACGCGGTCATTTTGTGTGTCCCGCGCGGTTTCTATTTTGTCGTGCGCGGTTTCTATTTTGTCGCTTGTCGAACGTTCGGCGTGTCGCAGGTGTGTGCAGAAGACCCATGAAGCACTCAAGGATGAGTTTGTGATGAAGAACCCGAGCCTTGGTTTCAAGCTTCAAGTGATTTCGAAGCTCGCCAAAAGGGTACACCTCAAGATATTGAAGATTGTTACATTACAATGTGTAGTGTAACATTTCCATGGGTGTAGGCCCTTGTGGAGGGTAGTTTCGAGACCCTTCTTGGTTGGGGACAGTGTGGCACTGTTCCACATCACTGTACCTCGGCTCTTGGGGTTTGTAGGAGCTGGGAGTCATTCCCAACTCGTAACTCTTCCTAGCTGTTCGTAATTGTGTGTTCTAAGACTATGTTGCTGCCATAGTGCCGTTCATTCAATCTGACGCTGTGTCGTAAATTCTGGATGAAATCGTGCGATCTAGTTTGCCTATTGTAGGCGACTTTAAGACGCTCCAGATCCAAGTTGAATGAGGTCAATTGGAGCTGTGACCAGATCGCTATGATCGTTTGAAGCCGCTGTGCAGAAATCTGACTGCGCACTCTATCTTTCGTTTTAGGCACATTGGAGTCTACTGTGACTATAACATGTTACTTATCCTATTCTCTTTGCACAGCCTTTATTAATTGCGTAACACCTCAGCATGCGCAGTACCTGAGAGATCAGACTCGCTAGCACCTAGGGCAGCAGCCTCTATACCTGGGTCAGGCGGCACACACAAGTAACAGTTACCGTCAGCACTAACCTCCAATGCATACATGGCAGCAATAATAGCATCATAGTCAAGAGCAAAGATGTCTACACCAGCCCTAAGCAGCTCATGCCAGCGAGGGCGCTCAACCTCCTCGCCCATCTCCTCACGCCAGGCGTCGTCAAGGCGGGAGAAGCAGCGGTGCTGGGTGTGAAACTTCCCGCATGTCTGACCCTTGCGGTCACCTGTGCGAATGACATACGGGCAGTGACCACTACTCCCAGACGTCCCATGCTGAGCAAGCCACTCACGAAGCTGCTGGGATGTACGGGGACGCTGCTGCTGCTGCTGCTGCTGCTGTCTCTGGCCAGCGCCAGCGCCTCCACCCCGACCGCCACCGCCGCCGCCACCGCCACCCCTACCGCCACTGCCGCTGCCACCGCCGCCGCCACCGCCACCGCCGCCGCCACTCCCTCCGCCGCCACCGCCTCCACCGCCGCTACCGACACTACCACTCCCCCCAGCACTCCCGCCACCACTCCCTCCGCCACCTCCTCCTCCTCCTCCACCGCCTCCACCACCACAACCCCCGGTGCCACCTCCGCTCCCCTTGGCTCCCTTGCCCTTGCCGCTGCAGCGCCTCCCACTAGGAGCAGAAGCAGCACCAACAGACTCAGCACCAAGGAAGTCAACAGTAGCAGCAGTAGCGAAGGAGGGGGCGAGGGGAGAGGGAGAGCACCCCTCAAAGATGGGGGTGCGAGGAGCGCCACGAGCAGCACCTACAGCGACAATGCTCTTCTCTGCAGCAATGAGGTGCTCCTCTAGGAGGTCGACAGTGAGCTCGGTGGGACAGCGAGCGAGAAAGTGGTCCCTGACCGAGCTGAGAGAGTCAGGGAGACGGGTCACTATGAAGTGGAGGGTCCAGTACATCGGAGGCGGGTTCTTAGCTACGAAGGCGTTGGGGAGGGCGGCACGAAGGCGAATGTCACTAGTGCCAAGGTGGGTGATGAGATCTGCAACTGTGTTTAAGGTGGACAGCTCAGGAAACAGGTAGGGCAGCATAAGGCTGCTAAGCGTAGCAGTGGCAGGGGAGGTGTAGCAAGCAACGACGGCGTCGTATAGGGCCTTAGCGGTTTTGTGTTCGCCAAAATGCGTGAGTTCGGTTAACGACATGTGGTTGCGAATAGCAAGGCGAGCAGCGGCGTCACGAGTCTGCCATTGGAAATGGGCGCTAAGCTCAGCTGTGGCAGGAGAAGCGACTGAGGCGCCAGTCGTGTGGTCAAAAAGCGAGACATTGTCCTTGCTATCGCTCATTAGAAACACATCGAGCAAGGTCTCGAATTGAATCGGGCGGCCCTCAGTGTCGAACGACAGAATGCGGAGGGTGGCCATAACTACTGGCGCGGGACTGGCAAGGCAGAGCGAATGCAGGCAAGCAGCAGCAGCAGGGGCGGCGCACTGGGCTGAAGCAAGCGGTCGCAGGAGGGGCAAGCGCAGAGGCGGCTCACAGGGCCACAGGGCAGCGGGACGGACGGTGCGCAGGGCGTAGAAGGCAGCCGCAGCAGGGGCAGGCGGCGTGCGGGGCTACAGGCAGGGCAGCAGGGCGGGCCGCGCGCAAGGCGTAGTGGGCGGCCGCGGCAGCAGGGCGGGCGGCGCACAGGGCTGCGGGGCAGCACGACAAGCGGTGCGCGGGCGCAGCAGGCAGCCGCGACAGCAGGGCGGGCGGCGCACGGGGCTGCGGGGTGTTATGTGATGCTACCATTTGTGTGCCTCCCATCATATGTCCATGCGTTGCATGCGTGGTGTGAGCGTGTGCAAGAAATTGTATTCTGTGTGGTTTGGATTTTCTGAGTGTGTGTGAATGTCATTTGGCTTGAGCAGATATCTGAAGTGACTTCTCTGCACAAGTGCTTTCTGACGAGCCAAGGATCGCTTCAATCGGAGCACGAACAAGAAAGGTACGAACGTTCGAAGTTCATATGCTTTTCATGTTTGGTTGTGGTGATTATGGGAAGTTGTGGGAGTGGCTCTGTATGGGGTACAGACTTTTGGGGGTTGGGAAATTCGTCCCCATCACTGTAGATGCTGCCAAGTGGTTGGGAGAAACCAAACCAGGTTGGCAAGTGTGGCCAACTTGGGTGAGGTGGATTGTGGAGGTTGGGAAAGTGACAAAAGTCAAAAGTGGGGTTGCTATAGAGAGGGAAATTGCGTGGTATACGGTTTTCCTTGGATGGGGAATATCTTGGGACCTTCCCTCTCGTCCTCCTCTTCCCTCCTACCTGGTTCATTGCTACTCTCACTCTCCTGTGAGAACAATTGACACTCTTGTGATTGAGTTAAATTTCTGTGGCAGCATACCCCCTAGTGCGCCGAAATTGATAACTCGAGATATACTCTACCTTTCAATTCGATTCAAGTTGGGAAAGATAGCCTTGGTCAAGGGCTACAACATACTCGAGTTTGAGACAATTCTAACGGTACGGTTTGCGTCGACAACGTTTCTTGTGGAGTTGACATTTCTGTCCAGGGTTGTAAGCCAACGATTTTGAGATATTTCGGCCCTTAAGCTTCCTAGACTCCGTCTTTAGTCTCTAACAACTGGTATCAGAGTGATTAAGGACTTTGTGGAGATTCTACTGAGGTGTGAAGACCCTCCTAGACCCACCATGGCCTGTGGGCGTGCCTAAGTGGAGTTCTAGAGGTTGCACGTAACTTCTGCTAAGGGGAAACTCTGCCGAAATTTCGTTGGCGCCGTTACTTGTGAAGATTTTGTGGATTTACATTGTGACCAACAAGGGGGGAGCTGAAGCCCGTGACTAGGAGCAGAGGAGATGCGTCAAGGGAGTGGAGAAGCAGCTGAGAAGAGGAGTGATCCACCACCATCCAAGATTGAGGCGTTGGATGGCTCCAACTACGAGGAATGGAGCGGGCGGATGAGGAGCGTCTCTTTTCAACTGCTACAAGCTGCTGAAGCTTGCGATGGGAGAAGAGAAGATGCCCGAGGAAGGAGATGCTCGGGATCGGTGGATTGAGCGGAGCGCGGTGTTGTTCGACCTCATCTTGCAATCGGTCATCAATGATATGTTCCAGCACACCAAGGACTTGGTTGAGTTGGACGACTCCGGTCCAAAGGCGTGGAAGCTACTGCGCGACGTGATTCAGCCCAACACGCTGCCCATGGTGATTGTGCTCAAGAAGGAGCTGGCGGCCATCTCCATGCGATCGGGAGATGATGTGAAGCCGGTCCTTGACAAGATCAAGGACACCTATGCGAGGATGGCAGCGGCGGGCAGCAAGGTGTCGCAGATGCAGCAGTGCACCAAGATCATCTCGGTGCTCGACAACTCGTGGGACAACCTCATCCCCACCCTCAACGTTCAGCAGGACAAGTGGACGCCTGAGTGGCTACGGCAGCAGATCCTGCAGGAGGACTTCCGCAGGCGCCATACGGGAGGCGGTGCTGCCAACAAAACTGCTGAGGGATATGGAGCTGCAGGAGGCAGCAGAGGAAGAGGGGGTGGGAGAGGCCGAGGCCGTGGGAGAGGCTTTGGCAGAGGAAGAGGCCGAGGTGACTACAATGAGGGGCATGGGAGCTCTGGTGGCAGGGGAACACCCAAATGGAGGGAGCGTGCTGGTACTGCAAGAAGGCTGGACATCCGTGGTTCAAGTGTTTCAACCGGCCTGAAGGATGGGCGCCTCCAGGCATGAAGCCGCCAAGTGGTGAACGCGCACAAGGTGGCATTGTGCAAGGTTCAGGTGCACAAGGTGAAGGTGCACAAGGTAAAGCCGACCCTGGGATGTTCCTCATGGTTGAAGATGTGAAAGGGAGTGAGGATGGTGTGGGTTCAGTTGGGAAGGTTGTGATGCACCCCCTCACTCACTGGGTAATCGATTCAGGTTGCACGAGTCACATGACTCCGCGGGCAGATTTACTTGATGAGGTGAAACCCCCTGGGAAGATCAAGTTTGTGGCTGCCGCTTCAGGTGCTTTGCTCCCTGTGATTGGTGTTGGGAATGCCAAGGTGATGGGAGCCAATGGGGGACTTGTGGGGCTTGGGAATGTCCTACTTGTTGAAGGTTTGTCCGCCAACCTCCTCTCTGTGCGCCGGCTGCAGAAAAGCAAGGCAAAGGTTACGTTCGGCCCAACGAGCTGCCGTGCGAAGCTTGGGAAGTTGCTGCTGTGGGATTTGGACGAGAAGAGCAGCTGCATCAAGGACTTATGGCAGCTGCCCATCATCCCTTGGAACGGGAAACCACCAGCAACGGCAAAGGCAGCGGCAGCGGCTAAGGCAACTGCGGGAGGAGAGGAGACTGCACCAACTGCTGGGGCCCTGGATGCAGTCAAGAAGGTGCAGCAGCCACAGCAGCCACATGGTGAGGTGCTTGCTGGTGTGGATGCGACAGCTGCATGGGCAAAGGCTTCATCTAGGAGTGGTGAGGCCGATTGGGAGACGTGGCACGAGAGGTTGTGCCACATCAACATTCCTATGCTGCAGAAGTTGGTGAAGGATGGGAGCTCGAACGGATTGGAGGTGAAGGGGGCAGCAAAGGAGATTGGGAGCTGCCCTACATGCCTTGAGACCAAGTTCACAAAGTTTCCCTTCACCAGCAGCACGGGACCAGTCAAGGCCCCACTCGCGCTTGTGCACATGGATGTGGTGGGTCCTACGAGGGCCCTTTCTCTCTCGGGCAGCCGCTACTTCTTGACCATCGTGGACGACCACACACGTGCGGTGTGGGTGTACCCTCTCAAGACTAAGGGGGAGGTGGCAGCGGCTGTTCTTAAGGAGTGGATGCCGAGAGCTCAAAGGGAGAGCGGACACAAGGTGAAGGTGATCCGCACCGACAACGGGGGAGAGTTCATTGGCAATGAGTTTGAGGCGGTGCTGAAGAAGAAGGGCATTCAGCATCAGCTCACAGTGCCCTACAACCCTCAGCAGAACGGCGTGGCTGAGCGGTTCAACCGGACCCTGCAGGAAGGTGCTCGCACTCTCCTTGGGCGTGCGGGGCTGCCGGATCCATTTTGGTTGACTGCACTAAGACAGGTCGCTCTTGTGAAGAACCGGGTGCTGGCGACTGTGGGGGACAGACAGTGGATCCCCTACACCAAGTGGTATGGGAGTGCACCAGCAGTCAACATGCTGAGAGCTTACGGCTGCATGGTGGTGTTTCATGTGCCGAAGGAGAAGAGGGGAAAGCTGGAAGCTTCCGGGAGACGAGGTGTGCACTTGGGGCTTGCTAAGGACCACAAAGGCTGGTTGATATGGGACTTGACCAGCCAGCAGCTGACTGTGTCAAGGGATGTGAAGTTCCTTGAGTCCTTGTACTACAAGGAGTGGAAGCAGCAGCAGCAGAAGCTTCCCACTACACCGCTGATCATTGAGGCCGATGAGGTGCAGCGGCCTTCGAGGCAAGTGCAGGTCGGTGTCTCAGAGGAGGAGATCTCTGGGGTGACTGAGGATGGGGAAGAACCTGAGGTGGAGGAGCAGCAGCAGCAACAGCAGCAGCAGCAGCAGCAGCAGTAGCCGCTGCAGCAGGAGCAAGGTGCTCCACCAGGTGCAGCACGTGCGGTTGACCGTCCCAGGAGGGATGTCCGCCCTTCTAACAGGCTGACCTATCCCAGTTTTGGAAAGCCAAGTGTGGTGCCAGCTGGGAGTGTGACTGAGCAGTGCGATGAGGATGAGATAGCCTACTGCTGTGGGGCTAAATTCAAATGCTTTGGAGGATAGTGCCCTGAGAGAGAGGCTACACTGGGGTGCTGCAGATCTGGGCTAAAAAGGGAGATGTTCGAGTGTGCGTTGTGATGAGTGTTGGAGGAACATTGGAAGGGCATGAAGCTTTCTAGAATGAGTGTGCATTGAGGGTGCATGCTTGAGCTATGGCATGTGGGATGATGGTTTGTAGCCGGAGGGGGAGTTTGTTATGTGATGCTATCATTTGCATTCACGTCTGTCTGCCTCCCATCATATGTCCATGCATTGCATGCGTGGTGTGAGCGTGTGCAAGAAATTGTGTTCTGTGTGGTTTGGATTTTTTGAGTGTGTGTGAATGTCATTTGGCTTGAGCAGATATCTGAAGTGACTTCTCTGCTCAAGAGCTTTCCGACGAGTCAGGGATCGCTTCAATCGGAGCACGAACAAGAAAGTTACGAACGTTCGAAGTTCGTATGCTTTTCGTACTTGGTTGTGGTGATTATGGGAAGTTGTGGGAGTGGCTCTATATGGGGTACAGAGTTTTGGGGGTTGGTAAATTCGTCCCCATTACTATAAATGCTGCCAAGTGATTGGGAGAAACCAAACTTGGGTTGGCAAGTGTGGCCAACTTGGGTGAGGTGGATTGTGGAGGTTGGGAAAGTGACAAAAGTCAAGAAGTGGGATTGCTATAGTGAGGGAAATTGTGTGGTATGGGGTTTTCCTTGGTTTGAAACTATCTTGGGACCTTCCCTCTCGTCCTCCTCATCCTCCCTCCTACCTGGTTCATTGCTACTCTAACTCTCATGTGAGAACAATTGTGACTCTTGTGATTGAGTTAAATTTCTGTGGCAGCATACCCCATAGTGCGCCAAAATTGATAACTCGAGATATACTCTACCTTTCAATTCGATTCATATTGGGAAAGATAGCATTGGTCAAGGGCTACAAAATACTCGAGTTTGAGACAATTCTAACGGTGCAGTTTGCGTTGACGACGTTTCTTGTGAAGTTGACATTTCTGTCCAGGGTTGTAAGCCAACGATTTTGAGATATTTCGGCCCTTAAGCTTCCTAGACTCCGTCCGCAGTCTCTAACACGGGGCAGGGCGACTGGTGGCGTGCGGGCGCAGCCGGCAGCCGCGACAGCAGGGCGGGCGGCGTGCGGGGCTGCGGGTCAGCGCGACGGGCAGGGCGCGGGCGCAGCAGGCAGCCGCGGCAGCAGGGCGGGCGACGCACAAGGCTGTAGGGCTGCGCGACGGGTCGCATGCGCGGGGCATAGCAGGCAGGGCAGCGCGCTAGCAAAAAAAACGCGTGCTGCAGTAGTGGCGCGCGGTCAGTAGGGGCAGCGCGCAGGTGGTGTGCACGAGGCAGCGCGACGCGGGGTAGGGCATTGGTGTAACGCGGTAACCGCAGTCGAAATGGTGGGCCCGAAAAAAACGGTCCTACGGACCTACTGCTCTGAAACCATGTCAGAAATGATAAGCTAGAATGAATGAACTGTGAGAGAGATTGGTACAAATAGAAACCCGAAAAGGGTTGTACCCCATATTGGCTACCCCACTATAGCCTACACATTATAATATAACAGATATAGTTTGACAGTCCCCTACATGTTGGGCTCTGCCAGGGCTGACGTTTCGAACTTTTAGGCACCCTAATCTTAACGTAGCGGTAGAAAAATAAGTATATACTTTGAAGCAGGGCCTCACTTTTAATTTGAAGGACCCTGATTAGGGTCACTGCCCCTTTACATTGCTGTCGCTAGGCCGCACTGCTCCCTATGGCCACATCCACTGTCCTGACGTTTGACGCCGAGGGTAGCCCGATTGAGCACGAGTCTTGGCTAGATGACTGTTGCTATTAGTGAAGATCGTTGTAGATAGGACAAGGCCTAGCTGGTAAGTGGGAGAAGGCAATGATGAAGTTTTGTAAAGACCTTGCTCATAATAAGTTGAAAGGAAACAAGATGATATAGATAGCATTCCTAGTTAACCATGTACTCTGAGGAGTACATTTCCTTATTAACTGTATTGCATTGCTACAGTAAGTACGACAATTGCCATTTTTGAGAGTTACTGTGCTGCTGCGTATAACCGCGGTTACTGGGAGGTCAACAGTCGCGACCATTGACCTTTTGCGACTGCTGACCTTAGCGTGGCTCTTTGACTGTCGCGTGCTCTACATGTGCTAACGCGGAAATGGTACAGGTGCGCTGCTTCGTTATGAACGGTGCGCAAAGGGAGAACCTTTGTGAATGTTATCATAACTTGTCGCTTATTCCAACACTCCCCTTCATTCCTGAAGGTGAGCCACGTGGGATTTCTTCGAGATCCTGCAGAGGTTGGCACAATGCTAAAACTACTGACATGGTAGTTTCTTTGTCATAAAATTCGCTGCCATGTCACTAGTTGGGCAATAAGTGAGTTTGAATTTGCCCTTGTCGATCCCGTCCTTGACGAAGTAGCGAAGTGCGATATGCTTCATGCGGTTCACGAATTTTGGTTTGTTCATGATTTTTATTGCGCTCTGGTTGTCACAGAGTAACGTAAGATGTCCGTTCATTGTTACTTTCGCTTCCTGCAGGAGCTCCATGAGGTACATGCCTTTGGGAACAGCTGCGCTGGTGGCGATGAATTCGGCTTCGGCTAACGAAAGGGCGATGAGTTCTTGCTTCTGAGAGTTCCAGGAGATGAGTCCAACAGGTTCGAGTTGGAATAAGGAGCTTGTGCGGGAGTGTCTGTCAACATCTCCTGCATGGTCTGCATCCACATAGATGGCGATCGTGGATAATGAGAGGCATAGTGTCGGGTTCAAGATTAGGAGGAGGCATGCGCAAGGGAGTCGTGAGGTTGATTGGAGTGATCGCAAATTTCGTTGCGAGTGTTTCGGCATATTTTGCGGGCAAGAGGTGGATAGAGGTGGCAGACTGGGTGACTTTGAGACCCAGGAATTGAGTGACATTGTGATTGTTTGTCACTTCAAGCTTCTCCTTAATTCCTTCTTTGAACCGGTCAAGAAGGTCTGCCTCATCGCCATTGTAGAGCAAGTTGTCCACATAGGCGACTAGGAGGATAAAGTTGCCGCGCGGCTCCTTCCAGCACATTCCTTGGTCGTGTGTAAGTAATGCTGCCACAGACGAAACCCTTGCTTGAAGAAGAGGCAGATGGCGGAGCTGTCTTCTTCGAAGGAGTGCGACTCTTCGACGAAAAATACGGCGTCAACGATTCCGTAGAGGAAGGCGTTTGAGACGTCGATCTGGCGGAGCAGGCATTGCGTGATGGAGGCGATGCAGATGAGGATTCGCACCAAGGTATGTCGTCCGACTGGTGCCAAGGTTAGATCGTAGTCCACAAAGTGCTGCGCACCATTCATCTCGCTTTGTACTTGTCGATTGATCCGTCCGCGCGTGCTTTGATTCGGAAAGCCCATATGCCGCTTAGTATTTTTCTACCCTATGCAGATGAACGGGAAACCACCTTCCAGGTCCCGCGGCGCTGAAGTGCTTCTGCTTCAGCCTCCATGGCTGCACTCCAATTCTCTTTGTCGAGACCTTGCAGGGCTTAGTGTATGGTGGTGGGCTTCTTGGGGAGAGTTGGCGAACAGCGACGACGGCTTTGTTGGTGTTTTCGTACGCGAGGCGATCCAGGTCGTGCATGCTGGTAACTTCGACAACGTTGTCGCCACCGTTGAGGATAGTGTCTTGTAATGATTTTGGTGGTGGTAACTCACCATCCGGGGATTGGCGCACGGTGTTGTGATAGTTGTGGGCTTCACGAGTTATGAGGGTTGGAGCGGGCTTGTAGTGTTGGTGCAACCCTACGGTTTGCACTCGGCTTGTTGTCCGTGTGCGTGTGCGTGCATGCGGGTGAGCATGGAGTGGTATGAGTGCATGAAATAATATATATTTCATGCTTATAATAGTGTGTGTATGATGGGTCATGATGTCGATTGTGCGTGTCGAGTCAATAGCGAGTTATTGCTAGTCGTGTGTTACACGGTCATTTTGTCCCACGCGGTTTCTATTTTGTCGTGCGCGGTTTCTATTTTGTCGCTTGTCGAACGTTCGGTGTGTCGCAGGTGTGTGCAGCAGACCCATCAAGAACTCAATGATGAGTTTGTGATGAAGAACCCGAGCCTTGGTTTCAAGCTTCAAGTGATTTCGAAGCTCGCCAAAAGGGTACACCTCAAGATATTGAGAATCGTTACATTACTTTGTGTAGTGTAACATTCCAGTTGGTGTAGGCCCTTGTGGAGGGTAGTTTTGAGACCCTTCTTGGTTGGGGACAGTGTGACACTATTCCACATCACTGTACCTCGGCTCTTGGGATTTGTAGGAGCTGAGAGTCATCCCCAACGCGTAACCCTTCGTAACTGTCGCAGAATTACACTGTCCAGCTTGTCGGCGTTTGGGTGGACAGTGTAATGCTGAGAATGCAGAAGGAGAATAAGGAGATGAGTGGAAAAGTTGGTGTACGGCACGTCGAGAGTCGTGTACGGAAAGCGAGTTCGTCGCTGGAAGCGAGGACGTGAGCAGAGTGGGTTGTGATTGAGGTTTGGAATGCGGTGGGATGGCATGCACTGTACATAAGCATGGTGTGTCGGATGAGGATGAGCATGCGTGGGTATGAATGCCGCCCTTCCCTGTACCATATGTGTGTTCAGTGACATAGCGAGGAGCTGCTGACACGTACAAGGGCAGCAAGCCGCCAGCTGTTGTGCTTTGCAATCAACCATGCAGAGGCCACAACAGCTGGTCTCTCGGCTGGGGCAACACCTCATGCAAGCACGAACCGCAGGCGGTCTGTACATAGCCTCGGGTGCTCCCGAGCCTCG